TGATGAAAATTGCTGCATAGACTTGTTCCCTACTCTTCAAAGCATGCCAACCAGGTTTATCTCACTGAGTTCATGCCATAAAATCAACACTAAAAAGGATCTATGAGAACCATTGACCAATAACTCCTAAGGGTGACTAGAATCTAATTTCTCCTTACAACATCACCTCTGAGTAACAAATTAAAGTAAGGAAATAAAAAAGGAAATAATCATTGACTAAAGGAGTTCTTGATTGTTAAACAGATTCTTCTTGTCAGTAACTTAGGAAACTTATGGAGAACAGTATAGGGATTATAATAATAATAATAATAATAATAACAATAAACTTTATTAATGTGTCAAATCAACAGCAGTTTCCCACTAAATAAGGACACCTAAACTAAACTAATCTAATATATATAAAATGCATAAAATATGCAATCCTACCCCGCATAGTTGACCCTATATATACGTACTACCCTACCCTGTGTAATTAAAATTACCTAAAAGATTAGAAATACAATACTGATAATATAAAATATTAAGATTTACATCAAAATACAGTTCTTTCAATTGTCCGAGGAGATTAAACTTTGTATATCTAATGTATTTAAAGCAATTTTAAATTCTTGTAGCGTTTTTAGTGTTCTTGTTTTTCCATCTAACTTAGACCAGATTACTAGACCGATTACTGGATATTTTTACTGATGTTAAGGTGTAAAGGGTTAACTCTATCAATCCCATGATCTCGTTAGTAACTCTCCTCGCAGTCTGCCATACAGTTCTTATAATGTTACTTTAGAGAATTTTGAATTGGATCAACTAATAATCTCCTGGCTCCGGTTGTTCAAAGGGCGGATAACGCTATCCAGCGGATACATCGCTATCCAGCGGATAAGTGTTACCAAAACGTACTGCGCTCTCCACCGGACAGAGATTTATCCAGTGTAGAGCGTTATCCATCCTTTGAACAACTGGGGCCTGGTTGATATTTTCCTTTAATTTTATCACTTGTCTGCTTGATATTGTATTGATATTGTAAGGAGAAATTCTGTCTTGGTCACTCATGGGAGTTAAAAGGATTAAGTAAGCTTAAGTACGCTAGCTAGAAATATACCTTGTGTATCCTTCTCGTCGCCATCAAAGTCTCCTGTTCCATTCCAAGCAACTTCAAACCTAGAACTCTTACTGAGTTTATGGCGAGGCGTAGCCACTTTAGTTTTCCCTCTATGTTTTCCCATACCCACCTCAAATTTTACCCAACAGTTTTGATAAAGACAATGTGCAATCATCGAAAGACTTCTACCTCCATCTTGGATAATACTTATGGAAATTTCTCCCAATCAGCGAAACACTCCTACCCACGTTCTCACGGTAACCACGGATTAAAGGCTTGCGTTACTAACCCACGGAAGGTTCGTTTTCGGTTAGGACTAACTTCGATTCTTCCACATTCTTGTACGGATTCTAATCGGCCAAGAGGTAATCATGTATTTTACATTTAGCTATTAGTTTTCTCTGACAAAGTACAGTGTTTTTGTAGCTGTGTTACCTTCACGAAGAGGTTTAAAATTCCATGCTAATTTTTCAAGGAGTGACGAATGAAGTCCTTTCGACTTCAGCACTTTGTTGACGAAACAAAGACGTTTGTTACTGAAGCTATCACATCGATTGGGGTAGAGAGCTCATTGACACGCTTTTAGTATGATCTGTATTTATTTTAGTGCATTCACACGATCAAACAAAACGAAATACAAATCGTTCGATAGATGGTCGCATTTCAAAATTTGAGAAGGACACGCCGAGGTATTTCTTTTCACGTGACGTTGCGTTGGAACAAGATACCTGTTTCGATACAGATTTTGATATCAGATGCTATACAATCCTTTTTTTTTAACCGTCTGTGACCTGCTAAGTGTTTATGGGTAATGCATAAAACCAAAGCAAGTGCACTCTAAAAGGATTGGAGTCTGAAAATGGAACAAAATAAGCGCATCTGGGCATGAAATGAAAATTGTAATTTACACTGCCGGGTTTGCTGAAACACTCCCAGATGTTTTTTGCGTCTTTAAACCTGACCACTACCAGAGACACAGTACTTCACATTTCTTTAAAACGTTGGATACATTTCGGTCGAAATCCCATCGTTATTCAGTAAAAAAACGAAACTTTCCAAATAAGCACGACAAGTATTACCATATTCAAAATTTCGAAGGCGGAAAACATTTTCAATGCAAATTTACGTTTGCTGTCATAGAACGGAAAACATTGCCTGTCAATATTTTCGATGTTCGCTCAATTATGATCTTCTAGAAACCAGAATTGGCTAAGAACAAGTTCTTTCTACCGATGGAGCACGTTCGCGTACGTGCTTTTTGTCGTAAAAAGTTGCCTTCAAACCAATGTTCCTACGCATGGTTAAACATTGATATCCCAAGAATTTGCATTCATGATCCGGTGTTTCCATGTCACTGGTTTATCAAATGTCGGTCAGTAGTTTCAAATACCATTTATTGACGTTTCTTTGTCGCACTGGTGGACGAATACGGGTATCGAAAAGAATGGTGTTAAAGTAGCTATTATTTATATGCTAGGTAGTCTGCAAACTAAATGAAATCGTCATGTTTTTTCAAGGATTTTCGTCACTGTTGTCTCCCATTGTCTTCTATTGCTCAAATAGTGCTTTACTGCGAAGGATCGTGCTCATATATTGTCTTCTTTGTTTGTCGCAACTTTCTTTAAAGCCAGTTGCCGAAGTTTGGGCTTCTATTTCTTGTGGGACGATGTAAATGAGATGATGATTGACCTTGTCTCTTAAGCCATAGAGATTAATTTCAGAAAAATGCAAATCATCTACAAAGCTTAGTTTTCAGGAAAAACATTTCAATAACATTACAAGAATTAAAGCTATTGGACGTTGCGCGCGGTGTAGCAGCTGAGATACTTATCGCGAAATGAACGTTAGCGATATTGATCGAAAAGTATTGCGCCCTGTAGTTTTCGAGTAAATTGGTAAATTCAAATCCGTACAATTATCTTTTTAGAAGCCCTACTGAGTAGAAAGATTACTTTATGCCAATTTCCTCCCTAAGACTAACCCTCATTGCATGATTGTAACTAAATGTGAATAACTTGAAAGAATCAAAAATAAAAACATAGAGGCAAAATTAATTAACGAAGTCGAAACACGATAAAACAGTGTCAAACAAAGAAAAATTTTGGATTGATACAAGATCCACTTTCATTTTTCTCCATAACGTTTCCAGAATTGCGGGAAGTTAGGTTACATACAGAATGGAACGAGATATTTACATCTCAAAACCATGAGTTGCTTTTGTAGCTGAAAGAGTATCGTACTTTGAACCGAATTTCAATGTGATATGTTTATCATAGGTGAAAGGGTGTTGTGTATTGTTTTGCCAGCCAGATTTGATAGAAAAAGGTCAACTTACGAACGTTCAAAATCTACGGTATTGTTTATTTTACAAACTTGTGATTTTCAATGTCTCATTTTCCATCAACTTGAGGAACGATGTTCTTAACAAAAGCCTCGCTCTTCATTAGGAAAGGTAGTGTTTTAAAGAGAAATTAGAGTACAAACAGATTATAAAAGCTTAAGCGTTTCTCTGACAGCAAACGGTTGACACTCCATGTCATATTTTGCTTTCACATGCTAGTTAAAGTGATTGGGCCGGTCATTTACAGGTCTGACCCAAACCGCGGTTTTTATTTTACACAAACAGTGGGCATCAGGAATTCCCTATAAGAGGGTTTCTTTAATAGAATAAATTTCCTTGCACTATTAGCTTTTGACCCTCTTGACAGTGTTCGCAAAAATAAATATTGAAATAAAAGGTACGGCTAAATGAAAGATGGCTTAGAATGCGGTTTTGTTGGACAACCGCTGAACTGCTTGTTTGAATAGTCGGCCCAAAGTGCTTAAGTGTGAAAACCTAAAACGACCCACAGTTAATGTACAGTTTTTCCATGAATCTTAGTACTGTATACTGTAAACTTCCTTATAGTTAAGGATATTTAAACTGTAAAATTTTTTTGGAACATTTCTCTTCCGATTCAGCGAGTGAGTCAATCTTGGAACATGTCTTCTGAGAAACCTGGCGCTGGATATAACTACATGACCGAGGAACAGGGGGCTGCAGTCCCCCCTCCTTATGGTATGCAACCCGCCCAACCAGGGTACCCTCCCGCCCAACCAGGGTACCCTCCCGCCCAACCAGGGTACCCTCCCGCCCAACCAGGGTACCCTCAACCAGTCATGACCCAGCCTGCCCCCATGCAAACCACTAACACAACTGTTGTGGTCACGCAACCGGCTGGAGTGATTCTTCAGCAAGGGATGCGAGACTGGAACTCTGGTCTGTGCGGATGTTTTGAGGACTGCTACTCTCGTAAGTAACTGCTTGACTACTGCGTTTACGCAAGTCGGAAAGAAACTGAAATAGATCCAGGACACTAGCTGGATTCAGATAGGTGTCTTCGCGATCTCGACGCGATGCTAAGGAAAATTCAAGTTCGTTCTGGTCTGGGAGCTTTTTCACCACATCAAAAAACGTAATAAGCAAGTGCGTACACGCAATTGAAATTGAATGAAACTGAGAAGGATTTTTTTTAAAAATAATTTATCTGATTTTCTTCCTTACAGTTTGCATGGGGTTGTTTTGTCCATGTATTTTACTCTGTGATGTGTCCCAGAGAATGGGTGAAGGTTGTTGCTTTCCGACCTGTTGTCCTGGAGCACTGGTGGGACTCAGGATTAAACTCAGGGCTCAGCAGAACATTCAGGTTTGTTTGTTTATATAAGACCGATCCTGTAACGTCTCAATCACAGAAAGCCCCTCTTTCCCTGCTCAATCCGATAGGTGAGTGAAAAGAAATCGGCGAAAGGAAAATAAAGTGTCGGAGATTTCCGCGCTTAAACGAAATTTTTGTGTTTACGTTAACTTGTTACTCGTGCAACGGGTTAAACTACAAAAAGGAACGACTTTAAGTCTGCACAACGTCTCTTAAAAAAGGTCGAGGTCATTTTATGCTGTGTTTGTTAACAGAGGCTGTAGGAGACGTGACGAAAAGAGCTGAGAAGCTACTTGCTATCCCCAATTGAAGGGTCGCATTGGGGTCTATAAGAAACCGCAAAACCGTAGGAAAAAATCATCCAAAATCATAAAAAAAAATTCTATAAAAACCAAAAACCGAAAACCGCATGCAAAACTGTCAAAACCGATATATTTTCACATCCCAGTTATTAAAACCTTAATAGATCCGATACAATTGGAGCATACAGAGGTTTCACAGCTATTCAAGATCAGAGGAGGCGCATAATTGCGCAACCGGAACCCAAATGGGAAAAACCGAACAACCACATCGGATACCAAATCCGAAACCCGTTCATTTTTTAGACGACAACCGAAAATCAAATACTGAAAAACAGAAAATCCGTAAACCGCAAGGAATACCAAAACCGAATAAAACCGAAAATCCCAATGCCCCCTCTCCTTATATTTAATCCGCAGAGAAGTAGGGCAATTACTGACAGAAACGAAAACAACACTTATTTGCCTCTGATGTAACCAAATCCTTTTTTCTTCTCCTGTTTCTTTCCATCCTTTCTCGATGACCAAATGCCTTTGATAAGCCAAAAACTTCAAAATTCTTAAATAATTTTTCAGTGGCTGACCAGCATTTTTGGAACGATTTAAGATTAGTTACTTAGGTGCCCGTGTTATCAATTGCCGCAGCATTGTCAGCAGCAGTTCGTGGCAGGTGATAGAGGGAGCGTCTCTTCCACTCCCCCCTCCCCCCCCTTACTCTACCCAAGGATATGATGTATATGTATAACAAATTATTTATTGGAGCTAGGGCCATAAGCCATCATCCGTTTAATGAAATTCTGCCGAAGCCTAAACCCCAGCAGTATAATTTACGTCGGAAGGTTTGCCTCCGCCCAAAGATTAACAGAACGATTCATGAACATATCTGTAAATAGACTTATTTTTGAACACAACCTGTTATAATTACATAATTTGATTTTGGCCATAGTATATTATTGTAATTTTTCATTACACAGTTTTTCGTTTATGTAACATAGGATATATATCTTTTATCTTATGGTTTATTAAAGACTTCATTCAATCAATCAATCAATCATGGGTGGGGCACCATGATACCAATCTTTTTAACAAAGATCTATCTTTTAACACTATGATTGAACGATTTCAGTTCGTTAAGTAACTTAGATCTTTTACTCGAAACCACAAATAGAATTGTATCAAACTTACGGCATAATTCAAAGATCGATGTTGCATTTAAAAGTGCAACTGTCATATTTAACTCTATCTCTTCTCCAGAACTCCTAGTTTACTTACGAACAACGAATTCTAAACTTTTACTCCTTTCCTTCCAGGGCTCCCTGTGCAATGACTTCTGCGTGGTCCAGTGCTGTGGAGTATGCGTGCTGTGTCAGCTGTCACGTGAGCTGAACCACCTGGGAGTGCATCAGTGATTCTGTGACGTCGTTTTCCATGAAACACATTTGTATCCACTAGTTGATAGCCGAAGTACTTACATTTTATTAGGAAACACTTTTGGCATCCAATTGTTTCTTCATATTCTGATGCAAAGGTTTTTAGGTTATGTGATTAACTTTGTAGATGCAAATAGAAAATACTATTAAATATGTTAACCAAAACCTTGTTAAACTGAGGAAGATTTTGTTCCAGAAAATCGGCCAACGTTGGTTTTTTGGCTGCGCTGCATTCTAAGTAGTGAAAGGTGAATGGAAAAACAGAAATGCATACTCTTGTAATATTTTATCACCAGTTTAACAAATACCTTTAATGGCACGCCAATGAGTTACTGTTATTACTGAAAATAATTGAAGAGATAAAATAGAGGGCAGTTTACAAAACGACATTTTGAATCAGTACCCAGATTTTGTTACGTCCGATTCGAGAAAAACTTCTCAGTTTTACATGATTCTCTATGTAATAGTAGAAAGGCATACAACTCGCAGAAAGCGCACATGCAATAGCCAAGCTATATTGTTAATGAGAAAGGACTTTTTAAGAGCATAATTTCAACTGACTACGACAGTTAACACCCGCACATGCGCAAGATATGACGCACGAATCCTTGCAACAAATTCGAGCTGATGGTCCTACGCGTGAAACAACTCCAGGACAGACTGCGCCAGCTTCGTATCTTGCTTACCCGCTCTCTTGCTGGTCTTCGCTGACCCAGCGAGTAATTGGGACAGCCTATCCATGACTAGAAAATCTGTACCATTTCTTTCAAACTCATACGACAAATAAACCCGTTTGAAATCCAACCTTACAGACTTGCAGCGTGATTATTATTATTATTATTATTATCATTGTGGCCTTTACAAAGTAAATTTGTGATAAAAACAGTCGATACGAAAGAAATATCAGAAGTGTTTCAAGAAAACGCGATGAATTAAAAAAAAGCGGAGAGTTCTAGAGAACGCTTGTGGAGAAACAAGAATCTAAACAACGAAGCAGTCAAATCGTGACAAAGAGGGGCTTGAAACTACTATGGATGATATACACAAACACGACTCCACCAAACTTTCTGCGATATTCTTAGCCCCCCCTACCCCCTAATTGGCATTTAATTGGCATTCAATTTCCCATATAGCCCCCCCCCCTTTTGTACTCTGTTGGCGACAGCTAATCTCCCGTCCGTTGCACCTCAAACCATAAAAATCATTCCCCCCCACCCCACCCCAGGTGATTTCAGGAGTATGTCCTAAGGTGCAATGTGCTAAGTTATTAGGAGTTACGATATTCAAAGATCTAAAATGGACTGAGCACGTAAATGAGTCGATATGAAAAGTAAATAAGCCCTTACACTTAGTGCCCCTTAAGAGGGCCAGTGTGGGACACCAGGACATTAAACAATTCTATTGCACAGTTACAAGACCATTATTAGAATATTGTACACCCATTTTCCACCATAACCGCCTCCCGGTTAGCTCAATGGATAGAGCGCTGGACTGTAGTGCGAGAGGTCGAGGGTTCGAACCCCGGCCGGACCAACACTCAAGGTCTTAAAATAATTGAGAAGAATCTGCTACCTTTCTATAAAATCAAGAAATGGTTAGATATTCTAGTCTTCTCGGATAGGGACGAATAAATGGAGGTCCCGTCTCCTGCAGGGTTGGGGCAGGAGACGTTAATTTCCCACACACGAGATTACTTTGTGATGGATGTCCTCCCCTGGGGTGGGATGGGTGGTTTAGGACAACAGGTCCACATCAGCTATTACAGCTGCCAATTAATCAACCTACTTAAACAAATAAATGAACTACTAGCCTTCCTGAATATCTTAGTGAAGACCACCAGGGTTTTCAGAAAAGAGCCATGTCAATAATTGCGACTTACCAATCGATGAATAATCCCCAGATAGCTATGAACTCAGTACTCTCGACGACAAAGACGCGATGATCACTGCTCCTCCCTGTTCAGTGACATCACCAATTCGAAGGATAACAGTCTCGCCCACCCACTCCCCCACGTCATCTAGACTCATGTAGCTTGAGAAGCAGAAGAGCTTTCAATCTGCCACGATTCCACACCAACCGTTTCAAGAACTCATTCATCTCGACCATGTGTCATCGAGTAAATGGCAATGTCTCGTAAACCGCAGTGCTCTTAGCCAGTAATTTGTACGCGGCACTTGATTTTTTACATAGAGACCCTTTGAAAATAGCCCTGGTTTTAAATTAATCATAATTCTATTGTAAATGATTATTCAATTCAGCCCTTGACTACGACTTAGTTATTCCTATTAAACTATCCGATCTATTTATCTATATGAGTAGCGTTCTTATTGAAAGACTTTTACGCATGCGCATCAAATGAAATTACCATTAAAGACATTAGGGGAATACTTTTTTCTATATTCTAGTCCTCAGAGCTACAAACAGTACTTGTAAATGTAGCAGTTATTTCCTCTTTAATTGTTATCTCAGATTTTTCCATTTGCTTTTGTGATCATCTCTTAAGATTTCTCTGACAGCTGTGAATCGATTTGACAGTAAACCACCCAAAAACAATAAGATAATGGTATGGGAAATTTTCTTGTCGGTTGAATTAAGATACCAACGATCTAAGCTTTGAAAATTTATACACAAAATATATTCTGTCCCAGACATCCAATCAACTGTCAGCAAAGAAACGGCACCAGAATCCGTTGGAGCCATTACTCTTCCTTTTGAGATCACATGACAGACAGTAAGTTACATTTTCTCGGAACCGGAGGAATCGGAGCATTACGGATTCAAGGAAGAAACTTTTTTATCAATCATTGTTTTACAGAAATGGAGGTTAGTTACTCCCTTTTCAAAGTTCGATTTGTTTGAGGTTTTTTGTAATTCATCGGATGTCTCAAAAACGGATATCAAAAATAGACCATCTTGGATGGGTTATTGATTCTGGAATTGTCTATTTACACTCAGACGGATGCTTGCAATGCAAAGGGATACGGACCTTGTCTCGTTTTTATTTAGCTCATGAACTGCAAACTGAAGAAACCTACAGAGCGATAGCTTCACATAGAAGTTGACTCAGGGCAGTCAAGATTTTTTTCACATTCAGAATCACCAGTCGATCAATGATGTCTCTTTGCTCAGACATCTTTCGCTGTCGCCTTACATAAAAATTCTACCATGATATTTCTACGCTCGTGGTTCAGTTCGCAAAGCGCGCTGGAATGTTTTCCAACGCCCTGCACAAGCAAATCATCTAGATTTCGGAACCCAGCATGAAGAGCTTGATCAAACTCCTAGCAGGGAGAAGAAATCAACTAAAGAATAGATCTCTTTCGTTGCGAGCACACAGCGATACGGTTCAATTTGGTGCAATTCGTTTCTTACGAATTACCTCTTCAGCGGCGGAAAAATTCCAGACGTTATCCTTGCACCTAAGCTCTTTGCATACCTCAGCTCTTAGAGTGCATTTCTTATATTTTCATTTCATACAATGGAAACGGATTTTCGCCAGTCTTTGCACGCACTAACTATATTTAATGACAAATATATGCCCCAAAACGTTCACACTTCGTATTCATACCGTTCGAATTCAGAGAAGTTCCGCTCAGACATAGGCACGAAACTCAATACCTCTTGAGAAGCTTGGTATGACCCCACTAGACGTAGGACGTGTTTAATCGCTGCAAGGCAGCCAGATTTCACGAGAATTTACGACGCCAAAATGTTTTCGTATCGGGACTCAGGGCACTTGGTTTTAAGTCATAACTTTGTTGCTAGGAAATTGACTTAACTGTGCAGGAAATTCTTTAATCTTGCCCACAAACATGTGAACGACCTCGTACGTTATTCACCTCGTATTATATTCGTTGCCTGTGGGTCTATCCCGCACTAGCAGACAAAACTAGAATTGTCCCGCCAAAATCAACGGACAAATTTTGTCAAATGAGACAAATTTTTGTGTCCTCTGTTGCATCCATAGTAGAATTCTCGAAGCTGTCAAAGCTGTCAAATTCGGTCAACAGCCAAACATAACACCGATACTAACTAAAGTTCACTGTAATTTGACACGTTTTTTATCTTTGGGGTTTCCGTTTGATAGTTCAAACAGCTGCAGGCGAGAAAAAAAGGTCTGTGTCAATTTTCGTCAAAATCTTCGTGTGATGCATGCGGCTCTTATTCGTGGTGCTGAACCGTACTCGCAACTTCCATTTCTTGTGTCAACTGAGGGTTTTGACATTTTTCTACGAGACACTCTTAAGGCAAAATAAGAGCACTTTAAGGCCCACAAAACCGAATTTTAATTTGTTTTTAATTTTATGTTTTTTTTCGAAATATCAGAATTGGTTTGTACATATGATAAGCTAAACAAATACACACACACACACACACACACACACACAAATTCGTGTCTTAGGCCTTTTAGTCTCTGGTTGCTCTAACCCGTGACAAAAAGATATTACATTTTCTTCATACTATCTTTAAAACTGTCATACCTAGTCTGCCCTAGTCTACCCAATGATGACTCAACCAACCAGTGTTCAGACCACCAAAACAATGACAGCTGTCCTTGTAACTCAGCCAGCACCCGTCGTAGCTTTTCAGGGACCGAAGAGAGAGATACCGGAGAGAGAGGGACTGAAGAGAGACTGGAGCACCGGTTTGTGCGGATGCTTTGAGGACTGCTACTCTTGTTAGTAAAATACTTTTTAAGGTGTCTCGAAAACTAACGAATTCGCGAAATAAAAGAAAAGAAAAGCGCAGCCAGCATCGTCAACTTCTCTCGCTCTTCTAATATCGGCGACTATTTCACTTTCGTTCCCAGATTCCCTGCTTCTCTTTAAAACGTGGGTTCCCTGACATGAATACGCACCCGTTCATGGTAATGCCCATTGCGTAAGCATAGGATCTCAAGCTATCAAATGACATATAATTGCGTTTGTCATTTTTATAAATTTTCATTAATGCCCATTGCGTAAGCATAGGATCTCAAGCTATCAAATGACATATAATTGCGTTTGTCATTTTTATAAATTTTCATCCGTACCTTTTGGAATATCGAAAATAGTCTTATACTACTCATACGATAAACACTTTGTTTCCGATTTGTTTTCTTGTAGTTTTTATGGGGTGGTTTTGCCCCTGTATTCTACTCTGTGATGTGTCTCAGAGAATGGGTGAAGGTTGTTGCTTTGCGACTTGTTGTTCTGGTGCTTTGTTGGGGCTGAGGATCAAACTCAGGACACAGCAGAACATTCAGGTAAACTCCTCTATGTCAGTCCTAGGTTAGCGCAGATTCTGGTTGTTAAAAATTTCCAAATGTTTTCATACCAAAAGATAACAGGCGATTATACACTGTTCCATATCTCTTACCCTCGCCTAGAGGGTGTTCATCAAGAAATGCGTTGATCAGCAATCGCTGGAGAACATTCTTGTGCCAAAAATTAATAACCTGCAATTATTTGAGTTGAATTTGATTTTTTTTTTCTATTTTCAGGGTTCCCTGTGCAATGATTACTGCGTGGTTCAATATTGCGGATTATGTGTGCTGTGTCAGCTGTGGCGTGAGCTAAACCACATCGGATTGAGGCAGTGATTTTGGGACTAAACTCGGTGGAGATATACTCTGAGCACAGGAGCGTTGCTGAAACAGTATTGTTAATCTCCTTTGTAGGCCTGAAAGGTTATTTTTACGGTGTTAAGATAAAGTAGCTCTTAAAGAATTTAGGAAGAACGTTGTACGAACCGCATTTAATCTTCCAGACTGAAAAATGTCATTTTTTTCATGTAGAACGGTGGAAACTGTCGTTAACATGTGATAATCGAATGAAATGAAGCTTAACTTTAGTTGGCTAGATAATAGAAGACAGAAGCCATGATAGCGTAAAGAAAACCAACCGAAAAACCGTAGAAAAAAATCATCCAAAACCTTAAAAGAAACTGTTACTATCAAAACCGAAAAACCGCATGCAAAACTGTCAAAACCGATATATATTTACATCCCAGTTGTAAAAACTGTAATAGATTCGATACGAGTGGAGCATACAGAGGTTTAGCAGCTATTTAAGATCCGAGGAGGCGCATAATTGCTGCTCTGATCGAATTAGTGCGTACTGATGGCCTAAAGAGTATGCACGCTGTGTCAGCTGTTACGTAAGTTGAACCACCTGGGAGAGCGTTAATGATTCTGTGACGTCGTTTTCTATGAAACACATCTGTGCTCACTAGTTGATGAAATTACCATTAAAGACATGGGGGGAATACTTTTGTTCTTGGGCCATCGTTTATAAGGTATCTAGATCGTAATAAGGTATCTAGACAGCTTGGTTTGTTAAGTAGGGTCAGAAACAGTCTCACGGTTCACGCAGCTGAAAGAGTCTTGACGACTATGATGATTCTTCCCAAGTTAGATTATTGCGACTTTGTTTGTTTGTTTGTTTAGCTCCTTCTAAATATAAAACTTTAGAAAGGTTACAAACATGAACTGCTCAAATTGTTTTAAAAGAATGCTGCCTTAGTCACGATCAGCTGTTGCGACAATTAGGTTGGATGTCCCTTAAGACACGTTTTACGATGCATATTTCAACTTTTGTTTTTAAATGTGTCAATAACATTGCTCCTGAAATGTTCAAAGAATATTTTGTCAAGTTATCACATAATTACTTTACCAGGCGTAATGGTCTTGACCTTTTAGTTCCAATTGTTCACACTGAATCTGCTAGGAAAGGGTGCTTTTATTCTGGGGCACAAGCCGTTTCAATAATTTACCACCAAACCTGAAAGAACTTGAATCCCTATTAATATTTAAAACGAGGCTTAAGGATTTTCTATGCAATTAACTTTTAATTTTACTTTTGATACTTCTTCTATGCATTTACTTTCCTCTAGTTTTTATTTGATTAAGTACATTATCAGATACAATGAAATATATGAAGTTCATATATTTTGAACTGCGGTATTAGATACGTATGATGCACGATCCTCGCAGTAGATAGCGCTATTTAAGCAATAGCGAAAATCAGACCTGAAAAAAAATCAGGCCTGTACGGGATTCGAACCACTGACCTCTGCGATACTAGTGCAGCGCTCTACCAATTGAGCTAACAAGCCAACTGGGAGCAGGCCGTTAAGTTGATTCGTAATAAACCCGTGAAAGTGATAAATCAGATACAATGAAATATATGAAGTTCATATATTTTGAACTGCGGTATTAGATACGTATGATGCACGATCCTCGCAGTAGATAGCGCTATTTAAGCAATAGCGAAAATCAGACCTGAAAAAAAATCAGGCCTGTACGGGATTCGAACCACTGACCTCTGCGATACTAGTGCAGCGCTCTACCAATTGAGCTAACAAGCCAACTGGGAGCAGGCCGTTAAGTTGATTCGTAATAAACCCGTGAAAGTGATAAATCAGATACAATGAAATATATGAAGTTCATATATTTTGAACTGCGGTATTAGATACGTATGATGCACGATCCTCGCAGTAGATAGCGCTATTTAAGCAATAGCGAAAATCAGACCTGAAAAAAA